AAGTCTGAAACTAAGTTTTAAATAAAGTTTTTTCAGGAAAGCAATATTAAGAATCATAGAACAGTTTGGGTTGGAAGGGGACTTGAAAGATCATCTAGTTCAACCAGTAATTTGGACTTGATAAAAACATACCTAACTACAAATAGCCCTGTAAAGATTCCTGGGAGCTCCTACTGATGTAGCACACACACAAAAGTGCTGAAATACAAGAGAGTGGGCATGCAAACACAAAACAGGCTTTTAAAAAGTGTACTACTCAAATCCTGCTTATCACAGAAGGTCATCCATATACCATCTTTTTATGAAGATAAGCAAGGTAGAGTAAGATTGATTGGCAAGCAAAAATCTCCTGAGGTTTATTATGACTAAACCAGACCAAAGAGCCTTGGTTTCTGTGCCTTTGACATAAAAAATATCACACGGAAACAGTGCACATGGTTCCAGAACATTGCTACAAAAGCATCTGAGCAATTGTAGTGCTCCATTGCTGCTTCCGTATTTACTGCTTGCACTTCTGGGATGTATCATAGCTCTTTCACACTAATTTATAATACAAACAGTGATAATAATCTGAATCATTTGAAGGAAGAAGATGCCTTTTTTCCTTTTTTTTTTCATCTTTAGATGCTGCTAACATCTCAGACTTTTCTGACAGGAAATATTCTGTTACATTGCAGGCATAAATACATTCCCAATGTACTTTTCAAAACTTTTGCCTTCCTGCAATCTGTAATCTTCTCCTGCTCCTTTCAACATAACTCCCCATAATTAATCACAAGTAAGTGGAATAAACATCTGACTGTGGTACATTCCACACCAATCACAGATACCCTGTCATCAGCCCTGTGTGGAAGGCTTCCCCAGACAGGTTTGTAACACCTCAGCAACATCAACATCCCTACTTTCAGGAACTATGGCGTTCAGTACAAATAAAGTCTTCTTATTTCCACAGCTATAACAAAAACCTTCACATTGCTACATACAGCTGAAAAGACTTAAGACATAAAACCTTAAGTCCTTAAATAGATGGTGGACTCCTTTCTTCATGACTGAAATAATTCTGATAGAAATGGAGCCAAGAAAGTACTCTTTTCCTTTGTCAGGGATTATCAATTCTTCTTCAAAGTTGCCAGCAATGAGAAGGTAGTATCAGTCGCAAAAAAAATCACCTTCCCACTAGACCTTCTCTGATTGTCAAAGCAGCACATTTCTCTGTCTGAAGTAATTAGTAATATCCATAATTTCCACCTCAATCACAGAAAGTCTAGCTCTTTCTTCTTGTGCCTGCTTAGCACCTCCAAAGGGCTGCTGCTCTCCCAAGAAGGTTGCTACGTTCCACAGACTGCCTTTTCTGGCTGCAAAGCCCTAGAGCACCAGAAATCCAGTGGAAGCTTTCCATCCTTTCATGGAATCCCGATAAAGGTGCTTCATCAATCATATATTCCTATCTGAGCCAGGCCTTGCCAAGAATTCCTAAGGCTTTTGAGGCTGTTATGCACATCACTCACTTGAGCAAAAATAAGATGGCCAGAGATAATGTCCACAAAGGCAACAAAGCAATAGAAAAGTGTCATATCCTAGATGCCAATCAACAAGATTCTACATATCACTGGTCAACAGTCCTTGCACAGAGCAAAACTCTCTCAAATATTTTCTATATCTGCAAATTGCTGAAGTGGATGGCGAGCTGATCTAAGACACAAAAGCAGCTGTCATTTATGGGTGACTGTAAGTTTTATGAAATACCTTTATGCAGTACATTAATGGCTTCACAAATTATTTCTCCACTGCTTAGAACTGATAACATTTTATAGATTATTCAAGAGGCACTACCTTTTTTTGTTTCTCTCTCACCTTTACTTCCTACGGTCAACCTCACACCACATGAACACCAACCACTGTTCACATTAACAGCTGCAATAAAAGACTACAAATCATCTCCATGGTCTACACAGTGCATGAAACATATTCTGGAAGGCTCACTTGTTAGTTAAACCACAAGAATCCTGCAGGAATTTCCTCAACACATTTGAAGTTAGTCTCGATATGTGTGTAAGTTTAAAAACAGAGCTAAAACACTTAATTACTGCTGCAACATGGAAGAAAGGTGTATAACAAACCAATTGTAAAAGTGAGAGAATACACATAATTAAGTCAGCACCAGACTGAAGGACATATCATAAGCCATTGCATGTGGCTTCCTCACGAGAAAAGCATGCCTTCGTCACTGCTGAGAACCATAACTGAATGTGCTATGCATGCTAGCAAAGAGGATTTCTAGAAAGACTATCGCTGGCTAGTAGCACCGACCCTTTTTCACAGACTAAACTAGATTGGAAAAGACCTTTGAGATCATCAAGTCCCACCTGTGACCCAACATTACCTTCTCAACTAAACATGGCACTAAGTGCCTCATCAAGTCTTTTTTTAAACACCCCCAGGTGACTCTACCAACTCCCTGGGCTGCCCATTCCAATGCCAAATCACTCCTTCTGTGAAGAATTTTTTCCTAATGTATAGCCTAAACTTCTGGTGCAGCTTGAGGCTGTGTCCTCTTGTCCTSTTGCTGGTTACCTGGGAGAAGAGACCAACCCCCACCTGCTACCTGCTCCTTTCAGGCACTTGTAGAGAGTGATAACATCTCCTCGCAGCCTCCTTTTCTCCAGACTAAACAACCCCAGCTCCCTCAGCAGCTCTTCATGTGTTCTAGACCCTTCAGCTCTGTTGTCCTTCTCTGGACCCATCCGAGCACCTCAATATCCCCCCTAAATTGAGGGGCCCAGAACTGGACACAGTACTTAAGATGTGGCCTCACCAGTGCTGRGTTACAGGGGAAGAATCACTTCCCTGGTCCTGCTGGCCACACTATTCCTGACACAGGCCAGGTTTTATTTGCCTTCTTGGTCACCTAGGCACCCTGYCAGCTCATGTTCAATCGGTTGCCAACCAGCACCCCCAGGCCCCTTTCTGACTTGACCACTCTGCCCCCAGCCTGTAGCTGTGGAGGGAGTTGTTAGAACCAGTGTTATAGCCAAACCTAGGACCTGGACTTGTTAAACCCCGTATTTGGAGAGTAAGGTTTTCATTTATAGAGTTAATGTCAACTTTTGGCATTAAGTCACACCAATCTAAAATATTTTACTAGTTCACACCTATTCCTTGTCCCAGTGTTCATGAAGGCAGCCATTTCTTCCCAAAACAAGACACTGGCAAAGTGGATTTCTAAATAACCTCAACTTTATGCTCTCTATGGTACAGAAAATCTTACAACAATACAGTGGAACCTCTATTGCRAGTACTTAAGCCAGTGTACAAGATACACTCTTTTCTTCACTCTGCTAATAAGACAAAAAAGTAAATACTTTCCTGCACAATATTTTAAAATCCCCACATATCACAATGCTTCTTAAGTACACAATACTAATTAAATGAGAGAAATTTCCCTGTGGACAATAATAAAGAAAAAAGTTCTTTTGAAACATACGGATTTAGATTGAGAAGATATATATGTATTAACAGGTTGAAAGAAAACTAAAGCATTCTTTACTGTTTTATCTCTTTGTCTGAATGATATATCTTGCATTTGAAACAGGTGGAAAATTAGCATCACCCAAGATTCATTTTCTCTCTTAATTTTAAACAAAAAGTTATTGTAATATTTTTTTCGTTTCTGTTGATTGTCTTGAGCAGCAAGCTGTATTGGTTTAAAATGGTTCTGAAACATGATACTCAATTTTTCAGTAAAATGACTGAGAATAAGTATCATTTCTACTTATGAGTCACTCTAAGTGACATCTAAGTCACATCATTTCCAAATCAGTTTACTTGACAAGTAGAAAAAGCAGTTTTCTCCCAAGTTTCAGATCCATAACCTAAGATACATACATTTCTGAACTACCTAGATCTTCTACATATTTTGGAATTGGGGACATAAAATAGCAGGCATTAAAAAAATACCTAAATTCCTCATTCGGAGAAGCCATGCTTTAATATGTGGAAACAATGCATGTTCAAGGGGCGTGTAAACTGTCCTTCAATTTAAAAAAAATAATAAAAGTAAGAAATTATAAAAGCAGAATTGGTAATTCCAAAAACCCACATTTAAATTAGCTCAAATTTGTATTCAAAATCTTAATATTCAGAAAATCAAGTCTAATTTGCTATAGGAATGTTGCTAAAAATAGTTACTTCCCTCACTTTTCATAGWATGTGACACTCCTAGTCCTCCACACTGACAATCCATGCCCCATATGCTTCTCTCACAGGCCGCCTTCCTGATGAAGATAGGGAAGATATGACACAACACACTCAAGAGACATCTGCTTGCTAGTCCATCTGGCCTCAAGGTGCAGAGATCCACTGTAAATATTAAGACACATCAGAACTACCACTCACTTCAACTCTGTGTCTGGGTTGCCTCCTCACCGCGTGCCAAAGGCATTTTTGGCTTTTCTGACTTCAAGAATTGAAACTGTCTAAGACACTGTCTTAGACACTGTCACTGTCTGACCCCGATATCTGGACCAGCCACAACTGGATTCATAGCTCTTGAAGATTCAGCTATTGACTCCTGCATCTGAGCTGTATAAGCTCCCTCTGCAGACAAAGGAGAAAAATTGGTATGCTCATGGTACTTTCACTTGTTTTACTTCAAACCTCTTGGATGAGAGAAAATCATGTYCTAAAAGTGCCAGTTTATCACCACTGACTGTGGAAGAGTTCTAGACAATCAGGTTAAATATGGACATGCAAAATGTAGACACTGATTGCACACGTCTGACAGTTACAGCCAGATTCCTATGAAGGATGACTTGACTTTGAAGCCTAATGTTATGTAGGTTGCATTTAACACTGAAACCTAAATAGATACAGTAAAAAAACATCCACCTGCAAATGTATATCAAATTACTGTTTTACAGACCAGAGGAACTATAAAGCAACATGAATGAAAATAATTACAGGCAATGTGAAATTAATTGCTTTCTATTTAAGACACTCACCTTATTTCCATCACCAAAGAAGAATTGATTTTCCAGTTTTCTACAGCGTGCTGGAAGATTGAGGAACCATCTTTTCGAATTACCTTATCAGAGTTATTGATCATTGCTCTACTCAAACTCAGTTCACCATCTCTGCAATGCAACATAGAAAACACACAATTATGCCAAGACTAACTTCAGTTTAAGTAATTTACATCCCAAGCATCAGTAATATATCCTTTTATTCAAAACAAAAACAAGCAATGGTCTCTCAGCTTTCTAAAGAAAACAAACTGTAACTGGAAAAAACCTATGCTACAGCTATCTATAACAGTTGAAATATATAAATGACGAACTTAAATATATTTATATTTGTAATGGAACAGATATAACATGAACTACAATAAACTCCAAACTGTGAATCTGGACAAAACTTCAGTATGTTTGTGTTAAATCTGAAGACCTTGCCCAGCATTTGCTCATAATCTGTAATACTGGCTTAATAGATTTCTTTGGACTCCTGTTGATGCTTAAGACTTTTATGCACAGAATTCTGGAGTTTAATGGCATACAAAATACAAAATTTCCCCAATACTACCTGAAACTTTTGCACGCACACATCCAAACCACCCCAGTTGTCTTATTCTGTCCATTGTTCTCATAATCATAACTTTTTTGCAAGGTAACCTTAAAAAAATATAGTAAGCTTTTGGTGATGACCACTGAACACCTGATGAGCTACACAGGTTGCAGTGTATTATTAGCCAACAGGATCACATAAATGAAACAGAGAACCCCACACACTGCAAGCACAACTTAAGGCGTTAGGACTAAAATCAATTTTTATCTTCATATCTTTCCATTATCATCCATACTGCTCCCTTTTAGATGCCAGAGCAATGTTCAGCTGAATTCAAACACAGCTGTTAATCAGAAATATATCAAAGTTGTGAGGTATAGCAATCTACCACACAGAATGTCTTGTAACTCAGCAGCCTTGTAATTCAGGAGTGTACAGGAAAATAATATACAGAMATCTGTTTATGTGTTACATAAGCATGCTCTGAAATATTGCCAAATAACAATAACTTAACTTGGAAATAGAATATCTGATTACAGCCCTTCAACCAACAAAATGGGAAAGCTGAGACAGTAAGCTTTCCATGAATTGCTGAGTCATGTTTTTCAGTGGCTGTAAATTCTTAGGACAATTGGATCACTGCCCTTAGTAAGAAATATAGCAACTTTACTGCTGTATATATAAAGCAGTAATATTTGGTAAATCATACAACAGACTGAACTTAAGTTAATCTGCAATGGACATAAACTAAGCTAAATTAACAAAACTGGTAACATGTAGTAATTTCTAAAAAGTGCTGTTACCACACAAATCCTGTTACTAACAAAGCAGTATCATACACTTCATCAAAACCACCTGCGTTACTTGCAGCCCCCTTTCTCCCTCATCTCCACACCCACACCCTGCAGCCCTGATTATCAGCTGATGTAGAGGTAAGGCTGGCACCTATCGAAAACCTACAATCTTAGGTACAAGACCTGAACACAAATTACTTGCTTGAAGGCATGGGAGGATGCTGTAGAAGTCTCTAAATTCAATAGCCAGAAGTCAGCTGATACTTTTTGTTATATTAAAATTTTTCATTCCCTAAAATATTTCCAAAATGATTATAATAATCCTAATAACACATATATTCCTTGCATACATTTTCTAGATGCATTGAGTGCATGCATCTAAAAAAAAATTACCAAATGACATCCAGGTAAAGTTCTCAGTCTTAAGATACTTCAAAACTGTCTTTAGTTTATTCTGCGTTAAATTTTATTTAATAGACACTTGAACAATGAAATATGACAAAACGTAGCAACAAAATACATTGCCAACACTTACAGAACCATAATATTTGAAATATGGTTGATTTCCATATTCACCATTTACAACTGCTGTTGAGTTTCCTAGATCTTACATAAAAACAATGTTAAATTATATTCTTATGAGCTGAAAGAAGGACCTAGGCACTTTGTGTTCAAGTACTACTACGAACACAAATGTGCTCATTTGCATCCTCCTCTCTCTTTTATTGGTATTGTTTTAATTTTCACTTAAAGCAATATAAAATAAACTAATATACAAAAATCAAAACTTTCTCCAGGCAATTCTTCATTGTGTAAGTGACTAAAAGAAATTTGAATTTTTTACCTTCTAGAATCACTGCAAATCCTCTCTGATGTAAATGAAGCAGCTGTCATACTCTAACAGCTGCTTAAAGCTGACAGTTTTAGCCTTCACTTTGAATTACCTTGCATTAGTGACCAGACCAATACAGTAAGACTCTCTCTTCTCCTGAACATAGTTCACTAAATAAAGTAACTGTCCTCAAGAAAATTCCATATCAGTAGGAGATGTTACTGCTTAAGAAGCCCTATACTGCATATAACATGCATGTCTCATTACTTGCTTAACCTTTAAAGGGACATTACTGTCTATGTGAAGCAGGGCACACTTTCCTGTGAGAGCACACAGCACATAGTTTAAAATTTATCACATAATTTGTAACTGCATATAGTCAATCCGTTTTGGATTGTCTATGATTTACCTCTGGTAAATCCTAGAATAAACATAAAATGCGTCCGTAACTTCTGAAAGTAAAGTATCTCATGAAAAACTAACTTTGCTTCCCACATGGCAGTTCAAAAATAACCCAACATCCTGAACCCCTAATTCAGGAGAAAGACAAGGGAAATATCAATAGGGGCAGCAGTTACTAGCAATACAATTTTAGGGTATTTTTTTCTGCTTCATACAGTAGTAAATGAGATGACAGGATGTGAAGAGAAATTATATTTCAACAGTGAAAGTGAGTAGCACCATACTGTACCAGAAGTCTCACTGATAGCAAAGAAATACAGATATCACAAAATGACCTGTCAGAAGTATAAAACAGTTGTATTTAAAAAGGTTTATTAGAAACATACATATTTATAACTAAACACATTTCTTTAATATTAAAATAACAGTTCATTTTAGCAAGTTTTAAATTGTGTCAAACAATGTGCAAAAAGCTGAAAGGTGTTCCTCGAAAGTTCTTCGCAAACTTATAAAAAGTAATTTCTGAATTATTTCATCAGTTCCCTCGAGTCTGAGAGGAAGGAACACACACTAAAAAATCATGGGTATTAATGACAATTCTCCCTCACACATTCATTTTCCTGTGTTTTCACACAACTGTAACCCCAAAATTTTAAACTTCTGTACATCTCCTAAGAATACAGATAGCTTTGTGGTAAAATCCAGGGTTATACCCAGGCTGAACRTGAGAAAGAGATACCAGTAAGTTAAATCTTGAATAACAATGGAAGCCAACATTGCACACACATGGCACTCGGAAGGTGTCAGGCTCTCAGGAGGCTGTCCAGCCGTGCCCAATTCCCGCACCAATCTTCCAGGGAAGTGAGATGCCCTTTCTCCCTTTARCTCCGGGGCCAAGTAGCCTGTAATTGTCTCAGCTTCCTCCAGGCCTGTAAAGGCATGTACAACCCCCTTAAGCTTCGTCCTTAAATTAAGGCAAGGGCTTACACGAGAAGGCAAAATTCCTCTGTGAAAGCATTCTCCCCACAGTCGACTTGCACTGGCAAACAGAAKATGTGAGCCCCTACTTAGCTTTTGCTGATTTAATTAAACGACCAAGCAATTAATGCACTGTTCCGGTGAAAACAAAACCTTTCACACGTCCAAGAAAAAAACATTCTGGCTGAAAACCAAATACCTCCACAGAATAGCTACAAGTTGGGAGAAAAATAAGGAATGCAGGCATTCACGTAAACAAAGAGAAAGCTGAGATGCAAACAGAAAAATGGCAAGGACTCTTTTCGTTTTGAGTAGAAGTCAAGGCAGCAAAGCACATAACAAAAAGTCTCAGCAAGGGACCAGAGTTTCCAGTGGAGGAAGCTCGAGAGCTAACAGATGACCCAGACTCTCTCAGACGAAGAATCCTTAAGGAACAACCAAGTCAAGAAGAGCTCCCAGGCAAACTTCAAAGACGGAAGCAGGCAGTCACCTGCGTCTCGGCGCGCTTGCCTGCGAAAGGTCACCAAGGCAGGAACCGAGGCACAATACGTTTCGACAGCTGTCACCGCTACCTCCAGCCGCCCCGGCCGCCGGGGCAGCAGCGGACAGGTGAAATTTCCCAGGAGCGCCCCATTACTGAGGCTGAGAAGCAACCTCATCAGCAGGGCAGCCTCCCGTCCTTCCCCGTGCACTCGCACCCACCCCGCGGCCGCCGAGCCCCGGAAGCAAGCCCCACCCGCCACCCGTCCCGCACCGGCATCCGCGCCCGCCAGAGAGAGCGCCGAGCTGCGCTGGCACGGCAGGCTGAGAGTCACGGCCCCAGCGGTGCCGAACCACCTGACGACCCAGGCGGGCTCACGGAGGAGACCTCATGCAGGCAACACAGCCCCACCGCCCCCTCGGAACACCCTCCCGGCTCGGTGCCCCGCAATTACCCGGCGAGAGCTGCCTCCTGGCGCTCCTCGGTCCTCGCTATTTCCTTCGTCTTATAGAAGATGAGAAGCAGGCTTATGGTGCACACAGTCCATCTCTTCCTGACGGAACGCATGTCTTCTGCAAAACGCGGGCCTCCTCCCCTTCTTCCTTTGTTTGTCAGGGGTGTGCGGGAAACAACTCCATACGTGGTACGAATTGCTAAAAACACAGCGCTCTAATTTTTTTTTGTTATTTTCCCTTCAGAATAATCACAGAAGATAAAATAAAACCAGACAGGCGCAGATGCTGGGGATTCTTTGACGTTTAGTTTGTCTCTTTTTCGCCCTGCCCTGCCAGGCAGCCGGGCTTGCAGGGGATGACTCGTTCGCCTCGGCCGGGGAAACCAATCCGCCGCGCCAGGCAGCGTGTAGCCGACTACCTCTCAGCGACTCCCATCCACGTTTCTCCCCACTGCGGCGCCGCTCGGCCACAGGCCCAGCCAGGGCCGCCCTCGCCGCGGCGGGGCTGGGGCGGGCAGTGCGCGACCAATGCGCGCAGGGTGGGCGAGGCCTCGGCGCGGGGCGGAGCCAGCGGGAGGGGCGGCATCGGCGGTGCGAGATGGGGGTGGCTGGGATCCCTGGCGGCTCCGCTTGGTTTGGGGAAGGCGTGGTTTCTTCGCCTGGCTCACGTCGGTTGTGCCTATGTCGCCTCCGGGTGTCTGAAAGTTAGGGCGAGGGACCGCCAACGCTGTGCCGCTGAAAAAGAATACACTTGCTTTTCAGAGAAGGATGAAGGGTTTTGTTCATTGTGGTTTTTTTGTTCATGTATTTTTTTTGTCCTCTCTACCCCTACGGATGGTTGTGGCTTGAACAGGGCACTGGACGTTTTTCCCAGTCTCCCTGCCCCAAAGGGGCAGGAGAAGGGAGTAAGCGGCGTGGTCCCCGCGCACACCCGCCGGGAGTCCTGGAGTCCGGCCGAATCCACCCCATTAAACCCCAAAAGGAGACGAAACAAGATAAAACAAACCTTTGATATGAATAATGCAACATGAAAAAGAAATTATTAGCTATATCCGCTTTTCTCACTGTTGTTTCGCCTTTTTCAAAGTGACTGGGCTGCCCTGGAAATTATGTTTATTCTGTGTGATAGGGATCTGCCCAAAGCTCTGAAGTTTGCTTTTATAAACAGGCAAGACCAGCATCACTCTTTTCCCACCCAGGATGGGTTCGTGATAAACTTAGTGTGACTTTTCTTTCTTAGCTTAGGTTAAAAGCAACAGTACACGGGGTGACAGAACTTTCCCTGGATCTGTTTGGTCTGATATGGATCAGTGTCCAGAGCTGATCCATTACAGGTATTTCACAGGAGGGTGCAAGCAAATTTGGAAATAAGTGCAGATTTTTCCTTCCCAAGAGAGTATGCCCTCAAAGACATTAGGAGTGAAGAAAGAGAAGTTGCTGAAAATCTTAAGACTGCTAATAGTTGTTATGTTCGAAAAAAATCAGTTTTGTGTAGTAAAAAAGTTTTAATTCACTCTCAGTGGAAAGGAATGGAAACTGCAATTTCCTTCAACACAAGTCACATCAAGCTGCATTTTCTGTGTTTTTCTCTCTCTGGCTCTGATAACTTAGTCTCAAAAAGTGAGCTCTAACAGGCATCAGTAGCAAAAGGAGAAAAACCCATTCTATCTGTGAAAGTGAAGTTCAAATTTCATATTGCATAATTCCTGACAGACATTATTTTGTATTAGAAAAAGATTCAATGCCAAAACCTATGTAACAGTTCTGTTAAAACTATATCACATGTTCAGCCTAACAGTCAAGATTCTGTCAGTGTTGTAAATCCTGCTGAACATCTGCAATACTCTTTTTTATACATTATAGAATTTTTGTATATTAGATTAGTTTTGTAGTTAGATGGACTTATTGAAAATAGATTTTGAAAAATTATATAGAGGATTCCAAATTCACCCATCTTCAGAGTTGACTTTACGTGGTTCCACTGACAGCTAACAAAGGCAGCTTACAATATAGTTAGCCACAGCAACTCCTTGGTTTCATGCCAGGCCATGTGTATGTTCAGAAAACAGTGTGCCTCCACCTTCTCCTGCACTTCTTCCTCCCTGATGGTTAAAACCCAGCTCCCCGGCTGCTTCATAAGAACTAGCCCTCACCCCATGTGAGGAATACCTGCCTATATCTAAGATATTTGAGAACTGACAGCAATGGCTGTGCCATGACCACAGTGGAGTATGTTTTTCTTTCTGCTCAGCCTGTTGCAACCAATCTCACTGAAACCGATCCAAAAATTTGACTTCAAGCTCCAAACCATAAAGACGCTAAAAGTTTTATTCAGTTACTGAGATGTAAAACTGTCAGTTTGCACTTGAGTAAAATATCGAGAAAACTGCTTCTCAACAAAAGCACAGTGTGCCTAACAATCTGGCATTTTCCTGAAAATTTTGGCTGTTCTCATGCCTRTCGTTCTACTATCATGAAAACACTGTCCTGGGTCAGAAAAGGATTGGCATCCTGATAGATTAACCAGCTCATCTCCTGCAGTGCTATTCCTTCTGCCCGTGCCATTCAAAGTTATGAAGTTATCTGCATAACATGGTCCAAGAGTCACACAGGTTGCTTAAAAGTGTGTCCAGAGCAAGTTCCTAACTTTTTTTGCTTCAAAACTAGTCCTGAGTTTTCACTGAGAAAAAGCTTTACAGCTCTGACTACAGGGGGGAAGACCACTCCCTTAGCTGTTCTCGCCTTCCTTAGCTGTCCCTCCTAGTATAGATTTATTCTTTAGCTCTATACTCAAGTAACAGGCAGACACAATAGTATGTAGGTGTATAGAATATATATAATTCAGGTAGGTGTTACATTTCATTCACAATGATATAATTCATTATTACAGAAAATGACTATAGAGTTTAAACATTAGTATAGAGTTAGCATAGAGTTTAAACATTCATATCTAGTACTTAACCAATTCCTTTAATTATCTTTCTTTAATGTGTTATCAACAGCACTTCATAACTCTAACAAATTACCTAAATTATGCCTTGAAATTCTTTCCTCTTTCTCATACATCTAATGATATTTAAATAATGAATAGTATTTCTATCAAATAACATGGTTTATTTACGTGAATTAAAGGAATGATTAAGCTCTGTGAACCCAGATACATGTTCAGTAAATCCTAATTCATGGCATCTGGTGATGACAGTAAAATTTCTTTCATGAAGATTACTGGAGGAGCAAAAATGTGAAAGTACAAATAAGCATGCATTTAAGTGTTGCAAATTTCATAGTGCTAATTAGTTTCTGTGGCAAAGCATTCTTGAAGGACTGTATTTCATGCTGAAGAAAGTAGCTAGAAACTAGAAACATTTACATTTGTGTCTTGGTTTGAAAGACAAGTGTTTGCCAATGAAGGCATGGACCCCCCTTGGAGTGGTGGATATGACCCCACTTCCCTCCGAGTTATTATAGCTTTGAAAATCACGGGCTTTCAGGCAAGAATATGGATAAAAGGGAATAACAGTTTTTACTAAATATGTATAACAAGGTGAAACAAGTAACAACAGCAATAGCAACAACCAACCCAGTCTCAAACCCAGTGACAGCCTTACAGAGACACATGCTCACCTTCGGTGCAATTGCAGGGCAGGGATGATGTTGGCTCCCGGCCGGGCAGGATGGGTGCGATGATTCCCTGGCAGCTGCAGGGGGCGCGGTGGCACGGGTCCCTGCTGGTTCAGGTCTCTCGCGTGGTGGATAAAACCAGCAGAGATGGCTGGAGAAAAGTTCCTCTGTAAACTCACAGTGGAAACCTCAATCTCGGTACTCCTCTGGACAGCAAGAAAACCCCAGAATGGCCGGATGAGCAAGGAGTCAAGCAGAATCCCATGTCTGTGAGACGGAATGCAGCAGAACTCAACCACTGCAGCATAAAACTCAGGGGTCCCAGGCAAGGCACAGGGGCAGAAGATCACAGTGCAGCAAAACAGGAACCAATGAGTGGAGATGCTGGGCTCTGCTGAGAAGTCCAGCTCTCCCCTCACAGGTAGCAGGCCGACCTCCTTCTCTGAGCCAAGCAGGGCAGGAAGTGAAGTTACCCGCGCGCGCACACACACACACACACACACACACACACACACGCACACCCTCCCAGTGCTCAGCAAGATCGTTTGGGTGGGGCATAGGTCCTATTGTCTTTACCAATCGCCTACCCATCAAAAGGATGACCTGGCAATCAGTGTATCCCAGCAACAAAATGGGAGAGAAAAATTCCCCAAGAAAGGAAAGACCCACAACAATTTGTTAGTGCATAATACCATGTAAAGTCCTTTTTTCATTATGAGTATTTCATATTTTATGTGGGTGCCCAGAAATATCTTCTRAATTAATTCAGTCTGTTTTATCATTGATGATAGAGAAACACTAGGAGAGATTTCGTGGAGAAGCTCTAGCATTTCAACCACTAGTTGTCTTTGGGACAAAGTTACACAAATGGATTTTTAATTCAAGGTGGAAGGATGAATGAGGTAAATTTTTCAGGTACCCTCTAACTAATTTTTTTAAATATATAATTTTAATACCAATCTGATCAAATTATAGTGAATGCAGCTTTCTGATTCCTGTATAATAACTTCTAACAAAATGCTCAACTTTGTGGAAAGGCTCATGTGTTCATACACAGTTTTGTGTCAGGAGCGAACATGGCTTATGCTGCATTCTTGCATGTGCTTAAGACTATTAACTGTGATATAATCCTGTGGAATGTGTTTAATAATATTAAGTATTCTATTATTTTTTTAAAGAAACAGCTAAAACAATAACTTTTGTCTTGTGAATTTTTTTAGTACTACTGCTACTTTAATCCATTGTCATTGCAGACTTCAATATCCTTCAATATTTTTATTCATGGTTCAAACAAAGGCACCCAGACATCCCCATAGCTGCTTGGTACTAATGCACACTGAATGCTATAACTTTGCAGAATTACTCTTACAGCCTAAATTTGAATATTTTCTATGCTTCTGGTTATCATCATCTACACATGCTTTCATCAAAATGTGTGCCTCTTGAAACATTATCTCTTCCTATTGTAGTAGAAATCCAGTATTACCTTTTTAGCATTACTAGTGAATAGCAGCATTTCAAATACTTCTGGTTTACAATGCAACAGCTTTAACATAGCAGCAGAACTAAAGATGATGCAGTAAGCTGCATTTTTGCATAGTTATTCCATTATATGCGACTCAAGGTTTGTGTTGATGGATGTTAAATCTCTCTTGATGTTCAGAGGCACAAAAAGGAGGTCAGATTTAATATTTACATTCACTTCCCCTTTCATTTTTGTGAGTAGCGTGCAATGATGACTTAGTATTTGCAACTGCCTTGGAGAAAAAACAGAGGATAAATAGGGAGGAAACAGTTAAAATAAATTTACCCAAATTTCTTCTGTGTGTGTGACAGGAAGAGAGTATCTTTTTCTCTAGAAGAAATTCTGCAGCAATTTTTT